CAGGTGAGTAGGTGAGCAGGTGGGCAGGTGAGTAGGTGGGCAGGTGAGTAGGTGGGCAGGTGAGCCCGGTGAGTAGGTGGGCAGGTGAGTAGGTGGGCAGGTGAGCAGGTGAGCAGGTGAGTAGGTGAGCAGGTGAGCAGGTGGGCAGGTGAGTAGGTGAGTAGGTGGGCAGGTGAGTAGGTGAGCAGGTGGGTAGGTGAGCAGGTGAGCAGGTGGGCAGGTGAGTAGGTGAGTAGGTGAGCAGGTGAGCAGGTGAGCAGGTGGGCAGGTGGGCAGGTGAGCAGGTGGGCAGGTGAGTAGGTGAGTAGGTGAGCAGGTGAGCAGGTGAGCAGGTGGGCAGGTGGGCAGGTGAGTAGGTGAGTAGGTGAGCAGGTGAGCAGGTGGGCAGGTGGGCAGTCATACGATATGGCGAGGCGGCTAACACCAACTTGACTCCCTTGGCCGGGAATTGAACTCGGGCCGCCGGGTTTGAAACGCAATGCGCCAACCACCCCCCCCCCCCCCCCGCAAGTGTTGTCAGTGAGCAGCGATGCCTATGAAGGTCGGCACGGCACACGAGGTGGGGGGGGGGGTGTGGATAGTTCCACGTCGCACCAGGTGCTTGTTTGAGGCCGAGTCGACCTAGGGGAGGCCTGGCAAGAGGCCTATACACACACGCGCGCATATGCACGCGCGCACACACACACACAACCCCTCCCACCTCTTCGTCCGTTCTGAATCTCAATAATGGGTATTTTACTCCTTGGCCTAATACCTCAAAGGAATTGCCCGTGTCACATCGTCAGTGACGACTCCGTGTTACCTCCTCTGTGTGCGGCGAGCGCCCAATCGCGGCGGGGTCTCCCCCCCCCTCTCCCCTCTCTCTCTCCCACTCTCTCTTACTCGCTCGCTCGCTCTCCCTCTAATTGACTCACTGCATTAGCACTGCGTCCACGACTGTCAATTACAGCGCTTGGCACACCCACCCCCCGCCACTCCGCCACTCCGCCCGGGCCGCTGTGCTGGGTGCCGTGCGGGCAGGGCGGCTGAACCCCGGCTACCTCCGCGGAGACGGAGCCGTGGAATCGCCGGCCCGCCCGGTGCGCGTGGATTCATCGCGGTGTGCCCTGTTGGGGCGGAGGCCTTCATCCAGCAGCGGATTGAGCGTGGAGCGGGCGACGCACTACGGACACGGGAGACGCGTCCAACGGCGCCGGATGAACCGGCTCTGGGCATCCCCTAGGTCGACTCAGCCTTAAACGCGTAGCTGCTCGCCGCGCGTGTAAATGATCAAGCACCAATGTGTGCCCCCCCCCGTTGCGCCGTGTCGGCCTTCACAGGTGCTTGCTTGACAGCACTTGCCCCCAGCAGTCTGTTGAGGCTCACACCGGCTTGTATCGTGAATGCACCGTGTGTTTGTGTGTGTGTTTGTGTGTGTGTATGTCTAATTCAATGTGTGTGTGTATGTCTAATTCAATGTGTGTGTGTGTGTAGACAAAGATCCCCCGTGTAGCCTTAACAGACTGTTGGGGCAAGTGCTATCAGCGAGGACCTTTGAAGGCCGGCACGGCGGCACACGTGGGGGTGGGTGGCCAGCACCACGCCCGGCCGCCTTTGTCTCCCTAATTTGAGGCTGAGTCGATCTAGGGGAGAGGCTCGGGACCGATTCAGATCATTATCGCCGGTGTTGTCCGTGAGCGGGAATCGAACTCGGGTTACCAGGTTCATGGCGCAGTGCGCTAACCACTCCACCACCGCTCCACAAATATGTGTAATTCAATGTGTGTGTGTATATACACCGTGTGTATGTGTGTGTATAGATGTGTGTGTGTGTATATACACCGTGTGTATGTGTGTGTATAGATGTGTGTGTGTGTATAGATGTGTGTGTGTATAGATGTGTGTGTGTATAGATGTGTGTGTGTGTGTATACACACCGTGTGTGTGCGTGTGTATAGATGTGTGTGTGTATGTGTGCATTCGTGTGTGTGTGTAGATGTGTGTGTGTGTGTAGATGTGTGTGTGTATATACACCGTGTGTGTGTGTATATATGTACACCGTGTGTATTCGTGTGTGTTTATCTGTCGTTCTGTGAGAGGCCCAGATGCGAATTGTCTCTGACTCCACATTCGGTCGCGGTCACGGGGCTGTGACACCATCACCGACACGGCACCCCCCCCACCCCCTCCTCTCCCCCCCCTTCACACCCCCCCACCCTTCACACCCCCCACCCACCCCCTCTCCCTTCCCTCCTGCCCATCTCCACCTCCACTCCTCCACTCCAAGCTTGCATCCCTCTCGCCGCGTGCCTCGATTCCATCACTCGCACCACCGCCACCCCTCAATCTGAACTCCCTTGCATCCACCCCCACCGTCCCCACCACCCCCACCGTCCCCACCGTCCCCACCGTCCCCTTCTGCTTTCCTCTCTCGATGCCGACTCTCTCTTTGTTTTTTACGATGAGAGGAATCAAGAAGATGCTCGGTGTGGTCGACACTTTGCTTCGTTCATCATTTCGTTTTTTCCCCCAATGCTTTGCTCTATGTGCCCTCCTCCTCCCCCTGTTTAAATGAAAGATTTCGTGCTCTGCTCTCCTCCTTCTTACTCCCCCCCCTCGCTCTCTACCCCCCCCCCCCTCTCTCTCTCTACCCCCCCTCTCTCTACCCCCCTCTCTCTCTACCCCCCCTCTCTCTACCCCCCCTCTCTCTCTCTACCCCCCCTCTCTCTCTACCCCCCCCCCCCCTCTCTCTACCCCCCCTCTTTCTCTCTACCCCCCCCCTTTTTCTCTCTACCCCCCCCTCTCTCTACCCCCCCTCCCCCTACTCCATGTCTATGTTTCCTCTGTTTTCTATGTAATATTTTAATTGTTTTACTTACTACGACAAGTGCTGCATCTGCACAACAAGTGCTGCATCTGCACGCAGCCCTTCTCGCAGTCCCCTACGGCCTCCGACGGGTAGCTCACAACTCCACGCAGAGCTCCCCGTCTCCTGCCACCGAGCACACGGCCTCCTCCAGTGCCCACCGCTCTCTCTCTCTCTCCCTTCACTCTCTCCTTTCACCCTCGCATCCTGAGCATCTCAGCTCCCTGCCTCTCCCCTCCCCTGGCTCGGCCATCGAGCAAACACGCCGGTCAGCGCATCGCGCGGCGCTTTCGGATGCGCCTCTGCGGCCGTCTGGAACGTTCTTCCGCTTCCGATGTTGGCAAGGCGCTGTGGAGCTACGCTGCGATTTTAAATCACCACCACCACCACCAGCAGCAGCAGCAGCATCTCGATTGACAACCTCATTCCGTGAAAACTGCTTTTTGTTTTTAGTTTTTCGCCCTTCCGAAAGAGGTTCGACGTACCTGTACATACATCCCGGCATCTCTTCCCCTCGCCCTCCCTCCCTGTGCATGTCTCTCATTCCCTTCACTCGCTCCCTCCCTCCCTCTCCTTCCATCCTTACATTCAAGCATCTATTCTCTCCCTCCCTCCTCCCTCCCCACCCCGCGCGCACGGCAGAGCGCTGAGTGTGTCTCATCCCCTCCCCCCTCCCCCCTCCCCTCCCCCCTCCCTCCCCACCCCCCCCACCCCCCCTCCCCACCCCGCTCGCACGGCAGAGCGCTGAGTGTGTGTCTCCTCGTCTCCCCGGGCCTCGCGCGCCGCGAGCGTCTTACAAATCCAATAATCGCGGCGCACTGAACCCTGCCTCTCGCGAGCTCTCACAATCATTTTTTCCTCCTGTCCCGCAAACACACACTCTCCCCGCTAAGTGCGCGCGTGCGGGGGGGAAGCGCGCGCGTGCGTGCGTGTGTGTGTGTGTGTGCACGAGCGCGTGCGAACACACACACACACACGTACGTACACGTGTCCGTGCGCACGTACGTGTGCGTGTGTGCGTACGTGTGTGTGTGTGCGCATGTACGCGAGCGCATTAAAAGCATGGCACCTTAGTCTGTGCCAGCTGCCCATCGGCGGGCCTTCGACACTTCGCGCGACGGCCTCAGGGTGCACCCAGCCTGGCACAAGCGCCGAGCCATCGTCACCGCCACATGGTGGCGAACGGTGGTGGTGTTGTTGTTGTTGTTGACAACAATTTGTGGTTGGGGGCGGTGGGGTGGATCGAGCCCGCCCGCGTCCTTGAGTTGGACTCCGGCTTGCGGTCGCGGGCACCGCCGCTCGCGATGCCCCCCCCCCCCCCCCCCCCACGTGGCGCCGTGACTCTTCGCGTTCCCGTGGTGGTCGTCTTCGTCGTCGGTGCTTTCGCTGGGTCGCGATCGCCTAGCACCGCGCGCGTCTCCTCTCCGACCTCGTCCTTGCCGCCGGCGGCGGCGCGATGCGCCTGTTGCTGGTTTCGTTACGGTCGACAATTTTTCGTGTCGCCCGTTCCTCCGTGCGGATCACTCTGATGATCGTTGGCCAGAGGTTCAGGCTCAGGAGTGTATTTCCCACTGCGTGTTAACACGTCGAGCTAAGAAGCGCTTTTTGAAGTGTGACTCGGCCAGCAGACGACATCAAAGAAAAAAACGAACGTAGTCATTATAATAGCAATGATATTCTATCTTCTTGGTTCTTTCGGTAAAGTCACGTAGAAGGGAAATAATAAAATAATGAAAATTTAACATAATAAAATACAATTCTCGCGACGTTTCGGCCACAACGCAAGCAGCCGTCCTCAGGTGAAGAACAGGTCTGTCGTGGAGACAGCGTCTGAATGAGATTGAATGAGATTCAGACGCTGTCTTTCCGACAGACCTGTTCTTCACCTGAGGACGGCTGCTTGCGTTGTGGCCGAAACGTCATGAGAATTGTTTTATTATGTTTTATTTTGATTGTTTTATTATTTCCCTTCTACGTGACTTTACCGAAAGACCCAAGAAGATGAATCCCTGCAGTCACGAAAGCTTTAAATCGAAATTTAAAATTGATAAGTTACGATAATGATTGTTGATGATGTTAAATCTGCTGACGCCACCGCCGTTTCCCCCGGTCTCCCCTCCCTGTCGCCCCCCCCCCCCCCCACTCCGTTGTGCAGGGACAACGGCATCAAAGCCATCGAGAATCTCATGAAGAAGAAGGGAAAGTTTGACTACATCCTGCTGGAGACAACAGGGCTCGCCGACCCGGGTGAGTTTCACTTCCTCCCTTGTGCCCGGTGAGTTTCACTTCCTCCCCTGTACCCGGTGAGTTTCACTTCCTCCCCTGTACCCGGTGAGTTTCACTTCCTCCCCTGTACCCGGTGAGTTTCACTTCCTCCCCTGTACCCGGTGAGTTTCACTTCCTCCCCTGTACCCGGTGAGTTTCACTTCCTCCCCTGTACCCGGTGAGTTTCACTTCCTCCCTTGTACCCGGTGAGCTTCACTTCCTCCCCTTGTACCCGGTGAGTTTCACTTCCTCCCCTTGTACCCGGTGAGTTTCACTTCCTCCCCTTGTACCCGGTGAGCTTCACTTCCTCCTCTTGTACCTGGTGAGTTTCACTTCCTCCCCTTGTACCCCAGTGAGTTTCACTTTCTCGCTTGTACCCGGTGAGTTTCACTTCCTCCCCTTGTCCCCCGGTGAGTTTCACTTCCTCCCCTTGTACCTGGTGAGTTTCACTTCCTCTCCTTGTACCCGGTGAGCTTCACTTCCTCCCCTTGTACCCGGTGAGTTTCACTTCCTCCCCTTGTACCCGGTGAGTTTCACTTCCTCCCCTTGTACCCGGTGAGCTTCACTTCCTCCCCTTGTACCTGGTGAGTTTCACTTCCTCCCCTTGTACCCCAGTGAGTTTCACTTTCTCGCTTGTACCCGGTGAGTTTCACTTCCTCCCCTTGTCCCCCGGTGAGTTTCACTTCCTCCCCTTGTACCCGGTGAGTTTCACTTCCTCTCCTTGTACCCGGTGAGTTTCACTTCCTCCCCTTGTACCCGGTGAGTTTCACTTCCTCCCTTGTGCCCGGTGAGTTTCACTTCCTCCTCTTGTACTCGGTGAGTTTCACTTCCTCTCCTTGTACCCGGTGAGTTTCACTTCCACATCTTGTACCCGGTGAGTTTCACTTCCTCCCCTTGTACCCAGTGAGTTTCACTTCCTCCCCTTGTACCCGGTGAGTTTCACTTCCTCCCCTTGTCCCCCGGTGAGTTTCACGTCTCCTCGCGCGAGGCTGACTCCTGTGCTGATGAGGCACTGAATGTCAAAACCGAAACGGTTCCAGAGTCGTTGCTTTCGTCGAACCAATGCTGCTCGGGAGAACAAAAAATAATCATTCCCAGAAGGCCGTGCGGCTGACAGGATGTGTACAAAGTTATCCTATTTATATATATGTGTGTGTATCGAGAGAGGGCAAGCGTTTGCTTCGTCATTTTGTTACGTACATATGCTCCGTGATTAAGTGGAGTGAGTGAGAACAATGAACCCTTGCTGTCAGTCACCTGGGGAGGAATTCCCCAGGTGAGTAGTCTGCCCCTGTACGAGTGTGTTTGTGTCTGTGTGTGTCTGTGTGTGTGTGTGTCTGTGTGTGTGGGAAGCGGTAGTGTAGCGGTTAGCGCGCTGCGCTATGAACCTGGCGACCCGGGTTCGATTCCCGCTCACGGCCAACACCAGTGACGATTATCTGAACCGGTCCTGGGCCTCCCCTAGGTCGACTCAGCCTTAAATGAGTACCTGGTGCGGTGTGTAAACATCGCCACTGGGGAGACAAAGGCGGTCGGGCGTGGTGCTGGCCACCCACCCCCTCGTGTACCGTGCCGGCCTTCATAGGTGCTCGCTAACAGCACTTGCCCCTACAGTCTGTCAAGGCTATACGGGGGGTCTTTATCTTTGTGTGTGTGTGTGGGGAGTGGTGGTGTAGTGGTTAGCGCCCACGCTGCGCTACGAACCCGGCGACGCGAGTTCGATTCCCACTCACGGCCAACACCAGTGACGATTATTTGTAACCAGTTCTGGGCCTCCCCTAGGTCGACTCAGCCTCAAATGACTTCCTGGTGCGGTGTGTAAACATCGCCACTAGGGAGACAAAGGCGGTCGGGCGTGGTGCTGGCCACCCACCCCCTCGTGTACCGTTCCGGCCTTCATAAGTGCTTGCTAACAGCACTTGCCCCAACAGTCTGTTAAGGCTATAAGGGGCTCTTTATCTTTATGTGGGTAGTGGTGGCACAGTGGTTAGCGCACTCCGCTATTAACCCGGTCATCCGGGTTCTATTCCCGCTCCCCTAGCTCAACTCAGCCTGAGTACCCGGTGCAGTGTGTAAATATCAGCATTGGGGAGACAAAGGCGGCCGGGCGTGGTGCTGGCCACACCACACCCTCAATGCGCCGTGCCGGTCTTCATAGCTTGCTACTCACCATTACGGCACTTGCCCCAACAGTCTGTGAAGGCTACCCGGGGGATCTTTGTCTTTTTGTCCGTGCGCGTGTGCGAAATCAAGTTCAGAGGCGGTGGCGAGGCGGTTCGGGCAGTGCGCTCCCGAACCGGGCGATCTGACAAAGTCGTGGAGGAGGTGGTGGTGGTCATGATGATGGTGATGGGTGCCATGGTGGCTAGGAGATGTTAACTTCCTCGCCTGGTGTACAGGAGGTCGTGGGTTCGATCCCGACCTTGACGCCCACTTGCGTGTCTCTCGCTTTCTCCCCGCGGTCGCGTGGATTTTTCCCCAGGTCCTCGGGTTTATCCCTCCACGTTTGGAATCAACGTCACGCGTTTAAGAGCATTCGGCTGCTGCTATAAAAGTCCATCGGATAAGCCGCTTCATTGAGCTGTCATTTGTAATGGCCTGGTCGCTTCCGCAAAATAACTACGTAGCTCAGTGGTGCCTTACCTGGTAAATTAAAACATTGTTTCGTATTCTTAGGTTTTTTCGGTAAAGTCACGTAGGTAAAAAAATAAAATTAATAAAAGTAAAATAAAAATAAAATAAAAATCACGACGTTTCGGAGGCAACACAAGCTTCCGTCTTCAGGTGGAACCGTCACAGCACGATAGCTGTATCAAGTGAGAGAAATTCCAAGAACACAGTATTTGTATATAATATTCAGGGCCTACCTTGGCTCCTCCCACCCTCAACCAGTATATATACAAATGCTCATTTGATACAGCTATCGTGCTGTGACGGTTCCACCTGAAGACGGAAGCTTGTGTTGCCTCCGAAACGTCGTGATTTTTATTTTATTTTTATTTTACTTTTATTAATTTTAATTTTTTACCTACGTGACTTTACCGAAAAAACCTAAGAATATGAATCCTTGCAGTCACGAAAGCTTCAAATCTAGAAACAATTGTTTCGGTTATAGTTTTAAGTTGATCGTGGTGGTCCTGATGATGACGACGACACAATCGAGGTCTTTTTTGGCTTAGAACGCGTAAATATAAATGTGTCGTTAAACCCGCCGCCACCCGTCGCAGCCCATTGGTGAGGCTTGTAACGTGAACAGAACGTGGCCAATCCGCTAGTAGTCCAGCACCGACCGGTTGTGTGTCGTTGGAGACTAATTAATTAACAACAACAAGCAGCTTCATCAGGCGACTGCCAGAGTTGTGGGGAAATCCTCCCTCCTGTTCCGGTCTTAAATAGACGGGGGGGTGGGGGTGGGGGGGTAAATGTGACGCCATCACTCGTGAGCCCATCTGTGGCGACGACGACCACGATAATAATCCCGATTTGAACTTGCGACCTTCCACTTGAGGAGCGGCTCGCCGGGGCCCAAGGGGGGGGGGGGGGGCGAGGGGGGTGGTGGCGGCGGGGGGGGGGGGGCTCGGGAACTCCCCCCCCCCCCCCCGAATTCATTAGCGAGACGCGGGTAATTAAAGGGGTCTCTTCGTCAATTAGCGGAGGAGTAGCGCGTTCGGCTGCCTCGGTCCAATCCATTGTCATTGACTCGGCCTAATGGGGCGAGTGCGAGAGACGCACTCACCCCCCCCCCCCCCCCCGGGTCCCTCCGCTCGGAGCGCAAGGCGAAGGTCGCCTCTCCCACCATCCCACATTTCTCTGTCAAACATCTCCCATCTCCCATCTCTGTCTCTCTACATTTTCCCATCCCGCCAACATCTCCTCCCGCCGCACAGGTTAACACGGAGGGCTGGGCGGAACGTCGTGCTGGGATTGTGAACCTTGTGGACTTTACTCTCCCACGCGCACCCAGGCGCGTGCTGTACCTGTACACTAATTGGCCACGTTCTGTTCACGCGACGAACCCCTTTTACTAATTGGCCGTGTCGGGCGGTGGCGGGTTTCAAGACGCATTTATATTTACGCGATCTCACGCAGAAAGCCGAAATTATGTTTCTCTCACGCACATCTTCCGTCTCCGTCTCTCTCTCTCTGTCTCCCGTCACTTCGTCTCCCATCTTACAGAGACCCACGGCTGCAGACACGCGCACTCACGTACTCACAAAGACAAAGATCACCCCCATCCCCATATAGCCTTCACAGACTGTCGGGTCAAGAGCTGCTCTGAGCGAGCCACTGACTGTGAAGGACGCCACGGCGTGCAGCTACGGAGGGTGGTGGCGTGGTGAGACCAGGCCCGGCCGCCTTTGTCTCCCCGTTGCTATGTTTGCACAGCCCGCACCGGGTACTCATTTAAGGCCGAGTCAACCTAGGGGGAGGCCCGGGACCGGTCGAGATAATCGTCACTGGCAGTCGGTGGCCGCGAGCGGGAATCGAGCCACGGGTCGCCGGGTTCGTAGCACAGCATCGCGCTAACCGCTGCGCCACCGCTCCCCACAGACGCCCACAAAGCCTGAGACACACGGACAGCCTGAGACACACGGACAGCCTGAGACACACGGACAGCGTGGGACACACGGACAGCATGAGACACACGGACCGCGTGAGACACACGGACAGCGTGGGACACACGGACAGCCTGAGACACACGGACAGCCTGAGACACACGGACAGCCTGAGACACACGGACCGCGTGAGACACACGGACCGCAGGCGAGAGATGCACACGGAGGAAACCGGGGGGAGCAGGCGAGAGAGCGAGCGGGAGATGGAGAGAGGGGAGATGGAGAGAGAGGAGAACGAGAGAGAGTGAGAGAGAGCGAGCGGGAGATGGAGAAAGAGGAGAGAGAGGAGAGAGAGCGAGCGGGAGATGGAGAGAGAGCGAGCGGGAGATGGAGAGAGAGGAGAGCGAGAGATGGAGGAGAGGGGAG